CAGCTGCCCAGAGAGGCTGTGGATGCCCCGTCCATCCCTGGAGGTGTTCAAGGCCAGGTTGGATGGAGCCCATGCTGAGCTTCCTTTTGTCCCCACATCACACAGCTCCTTCTCTCCTGCAGCACACGTGGAGCCCGGCACCTGCGAGGTCATCGCAGCACACAGGTGCTGCAATAAGAACAAGATAGAGGAGCGCTCCCAGACCGTGAAGTGCTCCTGCTTCCCAGGGCAGGTGGCAGGCACCACACGGGCAGCCCCCTCCTGTGTGGATGGTGAGTATCTGCGGGGCAGGAGAGCTGTGCTGGGGACGCCCTGTGGTCACTGCCCCCACCCCACAGCTCCCCAGCATTGGTCCCTGTGTGCCTGCAGCCGGGGCAGGAACGTGACTCCGGCCACGCAGTGCCATCACTGGTGCACTTAGGAGCACAAAGCACAGCTCAGCCTATATATATTTCATCGATTGACGTCAGATGCCATTACCATAGGGCCACCAGGAGCAGCTGGGAGCCTCTGCCGGTGCATTATTGATTCTCATCCTGCAGTGCATTTGTGCACAGTGCCAGGAAATACCCAGGTTAATTCTCAAGAAAGGCTTTCGCTGACCCACACAGCTTTTGTGCCGTCCTTCCCAAGGATAGGGAAGCCCCCTCTATGTATCCACACTGTTGGCATGGGTTACACAAGTCTCACAAAGCTGGGCAGCAAAGAATAGTCGCTCTGCATCAACAGTGAGGCCTAGAGCAGAGATACCTCCCCTGCCCTACGGGGGTGATGCTGTGCTTTGTACTGGGGGAAATGATAGGCGACGGGATGCTTTGGGGGCACTGGGAGCAGCGGGCACCTTTCCCCCACTGATGGCTGCTCTCCCCCAGCCTCCATCGTGCTGCAGAAGTGGTGGTGCCAGATGGAGCCCTGCCTCGCTGGGGAGGAGTGCAAGGTGCTGCCCGACCTCTCAGGCTGGAGTTGCAGCAGCGGCAACAAAGTGAAGACCACCAAGGTACGTCAGCCCCGAGCCCCCTCCACCCCCCACCCGGGGCCACGAGAGGCAGAGCACCACATGATTGTTATTTTCATGGCTTGCTGAACGCCCCGAAGAACAAGGTGTAATTAAAATTTTATCAAACACATTAGTAATTACATATATGTCACGGTTAATCAGTTGCATAATTTTGTAATCATTGTTCATGCAGTCGAGGGTAATTATTCCTTGTGCTGGAGCTCTTCTCACCCCGCATCCCCTGCCGTAAAATTATCGTATTAAAAAAGTGTTGGGGGGCTTTTTTTTTTTCTTTTTTTTTTCATTATTGCCATTATTTCGGATCACCCAAAGGACTTTCCTGCTCAAGTGTGTGTGTGGATGTCTGAGAAGGTCTCTTTGCCCTGGGCACCCATTGCTGCCTTTGGCTCTTGGTGTGCATTACTTGGTTTCTCCCCCCCACCCCCAGCTGAACCCTCAGCCTCCCAGTGCAGACAGACCCCAAAGTGGGAACAGTCACAGAGGGAGGTCACAAATAACCCTGGAACAGCCTCCCTGTGGGATGCAAGGAGCAGGTTATGTTTGCATCTGCTGGGTGCTCATCATCTCCTCTCCTGCAGGTCACCCGGTAGCTTCTGCAGCCTGGAGTCAGCCCTGATGACATCGCAATGCTGGATGGCATGGCATGGGATGGTGCCAGCACTGCTGCAATGCCTCACAGCTCCACAGCCCCGTGATGCACCCTGCAGCCAAGAAATGGGCTCATTTTCCCATCCTCTGAAATAAAATCCTCCGATTGTTGACAGTGATGGAGACAGACAGACAGCAGGGCTTTATTCCCAGCTAAAACAGCGAAGGTCAGTGATGTGGGAGTCACACAGATAGCCTTGCTGCCTCCCTCTCCCTGACCTGGAAGCAGACTCAGCTCAGCGCTGCCCACTTTGTGGTACCAGGGCGGTCCAACACCTCCTCAGGCTCCGGAGATGGCAAAACATTTCCACAGAGCACACTGTTGGTTCTTCCTTCCTCTGTAATTACGTTAACGAGGCAGCAAGTTTAATGCAGAGCCAGTCTCGGGCACCAAATTGCTGCTCGTGTTTGCATCGAATTTCAGAATAAAGATGCACTGGACACGTGCAGGCTCTGCAGCCCTGGGCTGAATGTGGCATTAAGGAAACAGGCACTGTGCCCCCCCAAATGTGCTCTGTCCCCTCTCTGCAGCTGGAGGGGAATTGGGGGCCCACGGACCCGGCATGGAGGTGCTCCCATCCTGGGGTACATAATGCTGCTGCAGACTGATGTACATAGCAGACTGTGAAATATTAAATCCAATTTAATCTCTGCAGAAGATCTCTTCATTGCAAAGCTGAGGGGCAGTGCTGGTGATGGGGGCTGAGGGACCCTCACAGGCTCCGATGCTCACAACTGATTTTTAGTGCCAGCGGACTACAGAGAGAGACATTCGTGCATTGGTTCCCCTACACATGAAATTGCTTTGCTGATTTGTCGAGTCCTTTGTGGTTTTAAGCACGCAGGATTTGGGCTTTCCATCAGTTCCTTTAATGGGAGGTGTTCTGAACCAGAGCAGGGGTTTTAATTCAGGGAAGGCTGATTTACACCTCAAAGGTGAGCGGAGGATCCCTCAAGTTGTGGGCTGCATCCCATTGTCCAGCAGAGGTTTGTATACAGGACACATCATGGTTTGGGGGAGCAAATATCCCCTTGGTGTGTGCTGAGCACTGATCCCCTCCATTGTGTGCCTCCTCCATGGGAGGATACATATAGGGGCAGTTGGCTCCTCCTGGCAGTGATGCTGCACCTCCTGCTCTCAGGGGGGTCCAGGAGCTGCAGTGTGGCCCCATCCCTACTGAGCGTGGTCCCTTCAAAAGGCACAGCCCCTGGAGGCTGTTGCAGTTCAGGTGCTTCCATATCATCTCCTGGGTATTGTAATTACACCTCGTTCAATTAGTCTTTGGGGAGGTGGGGAGGGAGAGAGAAAGAAAAAAAAAAAACCCTTTGTATTAAGGTTTGGTGGAGAATTATTAGAGAGCGAATTAAAAGACAAGGATTCCATTTTACTTCACAATAACAAAGGCCTAATGGATAAAATATCCAAAAATTACAAGCTGATTAAATTTAGAGCTGTGCTAGGTGGTGAAATGAAAGGTAAAATGAGACCCTTTGAGAAGCGACGATGTGCGGTACGAGGGGGTGTATTATCTGAGAAGTAAGATGGAAACATAATTAACCATCCGGCGTTACGCTGAGAGATGGAAAATTGAAATGGGAGACAAAATTAGGTGAAATTGCAGAGCAGACTCATTTATTTCCGCGGTATAAATCAGCATTACCTGTCAGCAGTGCTGAGATGCTCGGGGCGATGCTGCTGGCACAGAGCACAGCTGGGTGGCACTGCAGGGTGGGCTGCCCCCCTGAGCATCACCTGCAGCCCTGATGGGGGGGAAACCCATCTCAGTGGGCACTGCACTGCCCCAGCCTGGCTCTGATCCCTGAGTTTTGCTGCATGCCCTCCTGCTGTGATCCCTCACGGTGATGAGCGCCGCAGCCCGGCTTAAAGCAGGAGGGACATTTTTGGTTTAGTGGCTTTAAATTTTTGCCTTTCAGGCTTAATTGGATTTCTTTCCCCTGTAGCAGGATAAGAGAAGTAACCCCTGCCACCTTCGCCCTGCTGCTGTCACTCGGTTTGCTCCTGTCAGCCCATTTGGTTTAGTGCTGTTTGACAATGAGCAAAGAAAAGGTTTGTCTCTTCCAGAAGCCACAAGGGGAAGGTGCACCGTGCTGCAGTGCCTCATTTAGGAACGCAGAGCACCACTGGGGTGGGAGCAGTGGGATGGCTGGGCCATGTATGGGGTGCTGAGCTGGGGGTCGTGGCCAAAGCTGCTGCCCCATGTTTGCTCCGGGCAGCAAAGCAGAGCTGCAGGATCACACAGCCTCGTGTTTTATTAAAGCATGCATTTGTGGGGATATCTAAGGAAGGGAATGAATTATTCATTTGGGTGTTTCTGAGCTATATAAGCAGAAGTGGGGTGCAGCTCACTGCTGCAACACTACTGGCCTTTTCCTTTGCTCTCCTCTCTGCCCATCTCACAGTGCCCTCCCCAGGTGAAGGCAGTAGGGATGGGGCACAGCCCGCTCTGCAAGCACTATTTACTGACCAAATCAGGGATTAAAAGAGATTTTCATTTTTATAAAGTGATTCCTAACCTTGTTTTCCTGCTGGCACCGTTGGCATTGTGCAAAGCAATGAGGGAGATTGCAATTTAATTTGTGCCTTTCCCAGCTTGTCGTTAATCTCCCGACTTACTGCCGGTATTTGATTTCTGTAGCATTACTTCATGATAAAGGGATTAGCTCGGACCATAGGTCTCCTCTTTGATGCTCATCTGTTGGGGATTACTGAGAAATTCTGTAGTTAGTTAGTGGGTCAAATAGGCACTGTCCCCTCCAGCTCTGAGCGCAGGGATGGGGCACTGCCTGCTCTTCCAAAGTGGGAAAACAGGGATAAATTATTTAAATAGGCAGAAGATAATTAGCACTAATCAATCTGGATTCTGCCCAGGCTATATAGCATTAATCTTACTAATTATTTAATATCGCTAACGCAGTTTGCAGTGACTTCAACAGTTCAGTGAATTCGGTGTTGAGTAATAGACATAAAGTGATTGATTCTGAGTTGAAAGGCCCCTTGGGGCTGTAGATCCGACCGTTTAATTAATCAAATTATCACTTTTAGGCCTTTCGAGGAGTAGCGGCGCAGTCTTGCAGGGAGATTTTTTTCATTACACTGATGGCTATTCTCAGATTGCAGGAGGGAGCACTGTGTCAAGAACACGAAGGGAGAAGTTGGAGCGCATTGGCAGCGTCACTGATGAGAAGCTCTGATGGGATGGGGTGTGCAAACTGGGCAGCCTGGGCTGGTATGAAATGGGGAGGTTGGTGGCCCTGCATGTGGCAGGAGATTCATCATCCTTCAGGTCTCTTCCAACCCTGGTCATTCTGTGATTCTGTGAGTGCTGTGTTCTGACCCAGGGGGAGGCTGAGCTCACAGTGACCCATTGCATTGGGGCTGTGCAGCCGAGGTCGGCCAGCCTGAGAAGTGGGAAGGTGGGGATCCATTATTGAGTAATTACTTACTCATCTCCTGGTGGTTATTGAGCACAGCCCTGGCTTTGATGAATTGCTGCTCAATTTCTGTGACGGATGTGCGGTTGGAGCGGTGCCCCGGGGCTGCTGTCAGGTGGGGCTGTGAGGTGCTGAGCTGTGAGCAGCAGTGGTGCTGCTGAAGGCAAATGCTGATGGCATTTGCACGGGATTGGCCCGGGATTCATTCAGCAGTTCTACATTTTCTTCAAAAGATCTCTGGGTTGAGCATTGGATCCCCTGTCTGCAGCATGCAGCTGTTGGCCGTGTGCAGGTAAGGAGAGATTTGGCGAGGCTGGTAATGGATTCACTGTAAGGAAACAAACTGAAAGCAGTGGTTGATTCCAGAGCAGGATTCACTGGAGCTCACCCAGCCCTACCATGTCCTGGCAGCAGCAGGAGTGCAGGAGAGAAAGGGGAGCAGCAACCTTCCTGCCGTGATGTGGGGAGGAGCCGTGGGACTTGGAGTCAGCTTTCCTCCTCCGTTAATCAGTATTTGTGCTGGTTTTAATGAGTTTGGATTGCAGTTTACAGATGTAAACACATCTCCCATGATGTCTTCCTCACCTCCCAGGAATACACAGCAAGAGCTGTGAGTTGTGCACAGTGAGAAAACACACAGCACTGCTCCATGCCCCTCTGCAATGGCACTGACAGCAGCAGTGACAGCAGGGCTGCAGGCAGCAGGTAGGGATGCTGCTGCCCCTGCGACCCAGGGAAGCTCCTCACCAGGAGGTCAATGCACTGCACTCCCCACCCGCAGGGGTATCATCTCTCTTATTCGTGTTTGCCATCACACAGTTTAACCAGGGTCACTCAGCAGGGCTGTAAATGACATCTTAATTAATGGCCCTGATACATGCCAGTGCCCAGCAGCCTCGCAGCGGTGTTGGCTGCACTCTGCTCCCCAATGCAGCCTTAAATCAGCACTGAGACTGTGATCTGTGTGTCCAGCTGGGTGAATCAGTGCCTGCTCTCCCAAAAGAGCACACCAGGTGGACATCCCAGCAGTCAGAGCACAGCACGGGGCATCTGATGTGGCAACGTGCCGCTGTGCGCCCACATCCATCCATCACCTGACTGATGGCTCAGCTCTGTGACTTATTCCAAAGTCAGTCATAGTTCAGAGCCAACCCATAACTCAGCACATCACGTCTTCGTCAGTGACACCGAGCTGGGAGAACTCAGGGGTAACTTCAGAATTAATTGTGTTACTGATGAAGTTACTGACATGACTTATAAATTGCCCTACGGCCAATAAATCAGAGAGACACCTGAGAGATCCGTCATATTTCTTTCACTCAGAAACTTCATATGCCCTATAAATCAGATATCTGAACAGCTCATCGCACATCAGAACCCGTGCTTGGAAAACAGCTTTTGGGGAGAAGATTTACTTACAGGATATCCGTCTCAAGCTGCTTAGTGGGGCTAAAGAAAACATGAGATGGGTGAGGGGCAGTGCTGAGCATGCTGGGCTGGTCGGCCCCTGCTCTGAAACAGCAACAAGTACACCCTTACTGATAACAATCAGTGCATCCAATGGAGAATTGGGCTTTATTTCATGTGCAGTTCGCTTAGAGCCTGACGCATCTATTCAGATTTATTAAAGCAGTTCTCGTGCGTTGAGTCGGCGCTGATTGATTCCTTGCGATGCATTTTAGGGGGATTTTGAAGTCATGGTGAGGGAGACGTTTTCCGTATCTCACATCTAAACTGCTGCAACTGCAGTGTGTTCTTATCAGCAGGACTCCCTCTGGAATACAGAGCCGCCCTGTTTTTGTCCTGTATAAAATGCATGGAAGAATACTGGGGACATTTTTAAAGGATGGGGAGTTTTAATGAGTCTGTGGGCAATTTACCATAAATCACACATGGAAATGTAAAATCTAATCAACTGGTTGCACCAGCAGAGCCATATGTGCAGGAGTTTCACTCCTGCAAAACCCAGCAAATCCAATGAATACACGGGAGATGATTTGAATACATCAAGGAGACTTTAAAAGAACTTTTCCAAGAGCGCAGCCTGCACAGAGCTGCACCACCAGCAGAGTGGGAGAGGTGCCAGCAAATATTGACATTAGAGGCTTGGTGGAAAAACAAGGGGGGAAATAAGAGATAAAAAGGCTTTGGGTTGGTGGTCTGTTGCTGCTGGAGCTCTTTGCAGCCATGAAGGAGCAG